GGATTATATCTAGATATCATGAAATCTGAGAGTACAGGACCTACTCTATAGTTGTATTAGTCAGTTTTCTGTTTGTATAACAAAATCCCTGAGAAAAACAAGAGAAGATTTATTTTGGTGTATATTTTCAAAACATGGTCAATAGGACCCATCACTGTGGACCCATGGCAAGGCAGAACATGATGGGAAGTACGTGGTGGAGCAAGTGTGCTTATCTCATGGCAGCCAGAAAGCACACAGAGAGCTTGCTTTTATAATACAGCCCCTCCCTTAAAACACATTAACCTTTAAATTCATAAATGGATTAATCCATTGATAAGATCAGAGCCTTTTTAATCGAATTATCTCCCAAAGGCCCTGCCTCTGAACACTGCTGCACTACATTGTGAACCAAGCCTTTAATACGTGAGTTTTTTGGACCATTTTATATCCAAACTATAACAATAGCTAGGTAACTATGATCTTAGACAGATCCCTTTCCTTCTGTAAGCCTTTCCCTTTTTCATCAGTCAGGTGAGGAACATCAGAATGGGATGTTCTCAAGGATCCCTTTCAGCTCTTTCAGGTTTTCATTTCTCTAACTGAGGCTGAGGAAGAGGCCAGCTTCTTGATTGGAGTGACTAGTAGGCACTCTCTCCATGTGCTTTGTTGTACTTTATACCTGTCATTCATCTTATATTGAATGACCTATTGTTTCCCTCCTGCCTCTCCAAATCCTTTACTGTCACCCTCCACACCCTTGGCCCTTAAATCCTTCAGTACTGCTAGATAAGTTTGCTGTGTCTTCATATGCTGACTTTGACTCCTTATTTGTCAGCTTTCTCATCTCTGGGGCAAAGTACTTGACACCTGCAACTGGGAGAAAGGGAGGTTTTATTTCATGGTCTACTGGCTCCAAAGCAAGGGCATCCTGGGGGAAGGGCATGATAGAACAAAATTATTTACCTCATGGCATCCAGGCAGCAGAGCATAGGGGAACATTCCCAACAAGAGATATGTATCTCCCAAAGGCACACCCCCAGTGGCCCACCTCCACTAACTGGACCCCACCTCCTAGCAGGGCATTCAGCTCTGAATATCATTAGATTACTCTACTGATTAATATAGCACACTTATGATCCAGTCACCTGTCTGGGAATCTCTTCATCCAGTCAAGGTGACAACTGAGATTAACTGGAACAAGTCCACCCCTTCTCAATTTACTGCCTAGTCAAAACTTGTTAAACTATACTTAATCTCCAAATAGACAATTACAAGTTAATAGTTAAGTCTAATGTGATGCAACCATGCTCTAGACAATCAGAAATGCAATATTCCCTTTCCCCAAATGTCAACAATTCCAGCATTTGTCTAAAGTTCACAAAGTCTCCCCTGAAAGTCAAGACAAACCTTTAACTGTGAACTCCTGTAAAAATCACAGGCGTGTTGCATAATCCCAAGGTACAGTGCTAGAGGGTAAGCATTACCATTCCAAAAAAGAAGAATGGGAGATAGAAAAATAGGACCAAAGCAAGACCAAAAACCCAGCAGAGAATACATTAATTTTTTAACTCCATGTCCAGCATATCCAGTGGTGATGTATGATTTCCAAAGGGTTTGAGTGGACCTGCACTTATGGCTTTTCTGGTTGTAGCCCACATGGCTTCTCTCAGACTGGCTCCACTTGGAGCTTGCAGTTTTCCTCAAAAGACATTCTATGTTCCTGGCACCACCTGCTTCCTAGGGTCTCCATAATACCTTAAGCTTCATTTCTACAGCTTCATACAGGCACATCTCAAGGACAAATTGCATCTACTTTGCTTTGAAATCTGGGTGGGTGCTTCCTTGACCCCATGACTCTTGCATTCTTTATGCCTACCCTACCATCACATGGATGACTATGAGGTCTGCTGGCATTGACAGCAGTAAGCAGACCTTCTTGGACCATGAGTACAATGTCCTCTGAGTACCTAGATAGCTGAGCTTGGTGAAATGAATCCAGGCAACCAAATCCCTAGGTTTTCCTTCTCAACCAGAGAGCCTAGAAGCTTTCTTCTCAAATAAAGGGTTATACTTTTATGTCCTTGAGCCTATAATGGGTGAGGTCTTATTGATTCCTGAGATGCCCTTAAGATATCCTTTTTATTATTCCTGTTTAGCTTGTTCCTTCCCTGTTGCATGTGAAATAATACAAAGAATCAACCAATGGGATCACATCAAATTAAAAAGCTTCTGTATACCAAAGGAAACCACACAGGGAAGAGAAAATCTACAGAATGGAAAAAAATTTTGCCAGCTACTCCTCAGACAAAGGACTAATATCTATAATATATAAAGAACTCAAAAAATTACACCCCCCCAATTTAAAGATCCTCTTAATAATGATCAGCTGAATTGAAGAGATATTTCTTAAACGAAGAAGTACAAACTGCCCATAAATATATGAAAAATGTTCACCATTGCTAATGTCTTAGTTGCTTTTCTGTTGCTGAAACAAAATATCTAACACTCAACGTTAAAGGAGGAAAGTTTTATTTGACTCACAGTCTGTTGAAATTTTCAGTCTATACTTGACTGGATCCAAGGCTGACATGAAAGAAGGACATAACAAAGGACATAACAAAGGAAAAAGAGTTCATGATGGGCAGAAGGCAGCAAAGCAGTAAAAAAACAAGTGACAAACAATATCCCTTTTTCTGTCCCTAATATTTTATCCAGATTACCTACCCTTAAAGTGGGTAGCACTCATGTCCAGGGAGGGCTTTCCTATTATCCGCTCCCAGCACTATGCCAAACCAATCAGTGGACTAATTTGATGATCACACACCCTTGATCCCAGCATCACACATTTAATCCCAGAATCATATACACTACATCTAGCCACCTCTGAAAAGCCCTATCTATGAGTTCTTGAGGCTTTTAGGGAACATCTAAATATAAGCCGTAACAGCTGACCATTCAAGAAAAGCAAATTAAGACAAGACTCAGAGTCCATTTCACTACAGAATGAATGACTATGATCAAGAAATCAACCAACAACAAGTGCTGGCAAAGCTGCTGGAGGAGAAGGAACCCTTATTCATTGGTGGTGGTGGTGTCAAGTGGTATAGCCACTATGGAAATTAGTATGGAGTTTCCTAAAAAAAACTAAAACTACAAATTCCATTTGACCCAGGTATTCTAGGTATCTTCCAGAAAGAGTTAAAGTTATGCTGTTACAGTGGTACATTTATACCCATATTTATAGCAGTAAAATTTATAGTCATTAAATCTTGGAAACAGCTTATATGCCCACCAGCAGATGAGTAGATAAAGAAAATGTGGTATATATATCCAATGGAATATTACTCTCCCTTAAAGAAGGATAAAATTGAGACATTTGTAAGTAAATAGATGGACCCCCAAGGCCATAATGTTAAATAAGATAAATCAGACACAGAAGTTTAAATATTATGTGGTTTCTCTTATATGAGGAACCCAAAGTACAAATAAGGAGCAGAACAGGAGATACATAAGAAGTAGGGAGATCTTTTTCAAGTGAGAAGGGGAACAAGAGATAGAGAAAGGGAATAGGGAAGAAAGGGAAAAGAGAGCTGAAGAAAAAAATGAAAGTAGAACTTTTGCAAATGTGGAGTGGAAGAAGAGTTGGAGGAAGTAGGGTGGGATAGGAAAGGGAGGGAAGAAAAAAAGGAAATTAAGCTGTGCTATTACATGCACAAACTCCCCACAAAAAATGTAATCATCATATATTGTAAATATGTAGTAATAAAAGGTTAGAAAAACTGCCTGCCATAATGTATAAGTGTAGAATATACTTGAGATCCAGAAATAAGCTTCTTGTTTCACTGAAAAAAAATAAATTATTTGGTTCCCTTTTAATGTTATTACTTTCTTATAACCACATTACTCCTTTGGCCACAACTTTACACACATTCTTTTTGGGCCAAAATCTTAAGGTTTTTCAAATATATTTGCTTTGCTTTTTGCTCCTGATTCCCACTATAAATCTCACTACAAGCAATCAGCCTTCCTTATGCTACAACATGAATGCTGGGCTACCTTGAAATTTCCTTTGCAATATTAGTTAGGCTGTTGTCTTTAAATTTAGCCTCAGGCATAGTTTTAGGACATGAACAAAATGTAATGTAGGCAAATTCTTTGCCAGAAAGAAACATATATGGCCTGTAGTGCAATTCTCAATAGAGTTTTGTTCCTGACTGAAACTTCCTTAGCCTGGTGTTTACTGTCTGCATTCCTATCAGCATTCTGGTCTTATGAGTTCTGACCAGAATCTCCCATTAAATGCTACATATAGCATTCTAAATCTTCTCTAGCCCACATCCCTAACCTTTTCCAAAATTTTCCCATTAACCAGGTCCAAAAGTTTCTAAACTACACAGTCAGCTATAGTCCCAAAAGCCACACCATTTCTATGGTACAACTTTTCTGTGTTAGTCAGCTTTCCCATCACTAGGGCAAACTTCCTGATACCTGCAATTTAAAGGGGGAAAGATTTATTTTTGGCTCGTTGTTTCAGAGGTTTCAGTCCATGGTCAGCTGGTACTAAGGCAATTGCATCATGCGGAAGGAAATGGTGAGCAAAGCTGCTCACTCCATTGTGGTTGGGAAGCAGGACACAGGGGTAGAGGGTCAGTAAGAGACACACCCTCCACAGGCACACCCTAAGGGCCCCATCTCCAACCTGGCCCTACCTCCTAATAGTATGTTTGTCTGTGGATATCATTTGATTAATCCATTAATGATTATAGAGCCCCCATGATCCATTCACCTCTTCAGGGGTCTCAAGTTGACAATTAAGATGAACTGACATCAGTCCTAATTACATACCATATTGTGTTGCTGGCTAGTTATTTCCATTCTAATCTTTTTTTCCCCATGTATACTTTGAACCTTTCCTTTCCTTTAGCATTTCAGCTTCTCTTACAATAGTACCTACCAGTTTCAGTTACAAGGGATTGTTTAAGCAAATCTTGTTAATCATTTTCTTTTTCTTCTGTCAGTGTTTGTGAACATAGCAAAGAGAATCTTATGACCCCTTCCAACATGGGAGTGATTTTTGGGCCCACCCTGATGCGTGCTCAAGAGGATACTGTGGCTGCCATGATGAACATCAAGTTCCAGAACATCGTGGTAGAAATCTTAATTGAGCACTTTGACAAGGTATGCATTTCCTGTCCTTACCACAACTCCTCCAAGCATGGGGCACTTGCCTTCAGCTGCCTTTTTGGTTTTTATCTTCCTTGGCTCAAACTGACAATTAAAGGAAATCCCATTATGACACAATGACATTTGATGGTAATTCTAGCCCTGGGAATTTTATAGATGTATTCATTCTTGGTTATGCATGTAACTATTTTGTTATCAGGTACTATGCTAGGTGCTGGGGGTGTAAAGGAAAGTCATTGTCTGCCTATAAGGAGTTAACAGTATAGTATGGAGGCAAACATGAAAATGGAAAAAAATTATAGGTACAAAATTTGTACATGTACAATGAAACTGTAGGGGAGAAGAGATGTATCTTCTTACCTATCACAAGGGTCGTGATTGAGGCCCCTATAATAAGAGACAAATTAATAAGAGAAAAACATACAAATTTATTTAATAAGTTCTGTGTAACATAGTCTTCTAAAGTGAAGACCCAAAGAAAAAGGTAAATTTGTACTTTTTTGTAATAGTTTGGTGGATAGTCTGGAGAAATGTGACTAGGGATAAAATGGTATTACCTAATCCTATTAAACTGGGAAGAATTCAACAAAGCCTGTTTATTCAGATTCTTTGTGATGCTTTCAGTGTATTCTCATATAAGATACTCATTTCCTGCATGTATAGGGAGGGTACCTCTGGAATAAAAGTTTTATGACCTACTTTAGAGGAAGGTCAAGGAATTCTTTTCATGGCCTGTTTGGGGGAGGAAGAGCAGGAGGAGGCCTAAGAGACCTACTTGCTTTTGCTGTTTCCTCAAACACCAAGGTATCCTATTTTAGGATAGTAGGTCTTGAACTCCATAAAAACCATATATAAATCAATTTTACACTTGTTTAACCACCTCTCATTCCAAATTAATTAAGGTGAGTATACCACATGTGATCTAAAAATACAATGAATATTTACATTTTTAAAAAATTACAGTGAAAGACACATTGCCATTAACCCAAGTCAAAATACTCCCTCTTACTCTGACCGCATTTAAACCATCATTCTTGTCACTTTCTGGAGCAGTTATGTCAGTCCTCTTTCATGAGTGTCTTTAGTTTTGCTGCCGTGACTCCTTTAAGATGTCCTGAATCAATTCAAAATGTTTCCTTTTCAAGGTTATTTTAACTTTGGGGAAGAGCCAGAAATTTCACAGTACCAGATCTGGTGAATACAGTGGATGAGGACACACATCATAATGGTTCTATAAATTTCTCTTTCCATTCAATGGAACGTGGCAGCAGCATTCACTATAGTTTTGGTCATATCTCATAAAGGCACTCACAAAAGAGGACTTCTATAACTGTTTCAGAAATTGCAAAGGATGCTAAATGTGTTCAAAGCAAAGGGAACAGGAGATTGGGTGCGTTCAGGGTGGTGTTTGAACAATTAAATGCTGACATCTCGTACTCTGAGTAACTAAAGATAGCAACATGCAATGTATTAACCATTGTTACCCTCCTATCATATTGTTTTGGACTTTTATTTTTTGTTTCTTTTTCTTTATAATAATTTTTTTTTTAAATGAAGGGAAGTATTTTCAGGGGTTTATTTTCAATGTGTCTTTTCTGTAACAAATTTCTTTATGTAAACATTTGTCATGTTTTGCAGTTGCTCCTGGATTTGATATAGTACATAAAATACAAGATAACATACATTATAATCAGGTATAACAGCGAAAATGTAAAACAAGGGGAGAGACAGATAATAAATGCAGGAATGACATTAGGACAAGAAATAGCTATTCACATGTCTTATGTCCTTGCCAAGATGGCCCTATACTTGGCTATAAGCTTTGTAGCAACCAGTGCCATTCTTGGGAAGCATAATTTAATATAAATTTTCCTTTGGGCAAAGAGGATAGTCATATAATGTGGGTCTGTCCACAATTCAAGTCCAAGCTCTACCACTGTTAGTTGCTATGATACAGGCTGGAGTGCTAACTCCCCACACACATACAATGACTCTACACAGTAGATGTTTATTTTTTGGCTGTCAGACCGTCCAAGGAGATGGTCCGAGGCTAGTAAGGTGATTTGACAGTGTCAGGATCTTTGGTTCTTTCTTGTTGCTGTGCTCTTCCTATGGTATTGTCTTTGTCTTCACGATTGAGTCTATATTCTATTGATTAAGAAGGATGAAAGAAAGGAAGCAGGTTAAAACTTTTTTTTAAGCTATGGTCTGGAAGGCATACATACCAGTTTCATTTACATCCCATTTGTCAGAATTTCATCTCAGGGTTTCACATGATGTGACAGGGAAGTATAGTCTTTATTTGGTGTAGAACATGCCCAAGACTCAAGGAAGAGAATGGATGTTGGAGAACAATCAGCAGTCACTGCCATATTATCTGTTTCCTCAAACAACTTTATCTTTCTGATAATCACTTATATTTAGCTGAAATGTGAAGTTGATAATACTTTGTGACAATCACATCCCTGAGGTTACTTGGTTAGTAAGTGGCATAGGTGAATAATGTACCAAAGTACAGTTAGATAGGAGGAATAAATTTAGTGTTCTGCAGCACAATATCATAATTGTAGTTCCCAACAACCTAATGCATATTTTATAAAGAACTAAAAGAAAGAAATTTGTGTGCTCCCACCACAAAGAAATGGTAAATACTTAAGGAGATGAAAATGCTCATTACCTTGACTTGATCATTATATATTATATTACATGTATTGAATTACTACGTTGTAACCCTTGAATATACATATAATTATGAAGAATCAATTAAAATTTTTAATGAGAGCTGGAATTTAAATCCAGTTACCCTGTTAAGAATCACAGCACTTAATCACTGTGCACGGCAGTAGCATCACCAATCATTTTGGTACAGTGACATTATTGAGTATGTGGGTGACACCTTTGGATTTTCAAGAAGGGATACTTGCAGAAAAGTACAACTTGTATTAATGTATTATTCAGGGTTCTTTAGACAGCTAAAACCATTAGGATATATGTGCAGATATACGAGAGAGGATTTATTAGGGGAATTCTCTCACTCAATTATGGTACCTAAGACATCCCATGACAGGTATCTGTAGGCTGGAGACCCTGGGATACCAGTAGCATGGCTTAGTACAAGTCTGAAGGCCTGAGAATCAAAAAGACAATTGTGTAAGTTGCCTGAGGCAGAATGCATAAGGATAGAGAAGGGGAGTGGGCTCCCTGGTGTAAATCCTGGAGTCCAAAGGCCAGAGATCTGAGAGTCCTGATGTCCTGGCTCTCAAAGCAAAATCCCTTCATTTTCTTTGTTGTTATAACTAGGCCCCCAACAGAGTGGATGACGCCTGCCCACATTGACGGCAGCTTTTCCCACCTGGTCCATACAGTCTTGCTACTCTCTTCTGGAAACACTCTCTTAGATACAACCAAAAGAATACTTGTCCAGGCTTTGTAGGTATTTGAAAATCCAGCCAAGTTGAGACCTAAAATTAACCATCACAGATATTAAAAGTGAACAAAAAAAGAAGTCAGGAAAAGAAATTTCAGTGAGACTACCCAGTGTGAACAAAGGCCTAGGGCTAAAATGTTGTTGGAACAAGAAATGGAAATAGAAACAGCTGGAAATATGACTAAAGATAGGCAGGGACCAGTTCCTAAAAGCACTTGACTGCTTGGTTGAGGAGTTTAGAATGTTTGGAATTTTTCATGCAAGTGTTGAGAAAGCATTGCTTGAAAATAGAGTAGTAGTACGGTCAGACTTATGATCAGGAGACATTGTCATGACTATAGTATAAAGGGTAGAAAAGAGAAAAGGAGAAAGTTGTGCCAAGTCTGAGCAAGAATTAATTGTAGTCTGAGATAGGGCAGTGAAAAGGAAGATAGGGAGGCAAAAGCAGCAGGACTTGGTGATCAGAAGTAGAAGATGTGGGAGAGGGAGATTTTGGAATCCTGGATCTCTGACTTGGATGACTGAATGAATGAGGCAGTTCTTCATACATGTTAGAAATACAGAATAGAAAATTAATGGGGAGATGGGGAAAAGCTATCATTGGGGTAGGTTAGATTTGAGGTTTCTGAAAATTATCCAGAAAGCAGTATCTAACGAGTAGTTCATTATGTGAATCTAAAGCAAAGATCAGTGAGTTTTTGTGTAAAGTACACATAGTTAAAATAAGTTACGCTCTTCAGGTCAGAGATCTCTATCAAGCTGGTCAGGTCTATCTTTGTAGTGGGAAAGCAGCCACAGATAATATTTAAACAGATGGATGTAACATTAATATAATAAAACTGTTTATAAAATTGGCAATAATCCTATGAACTATAATTTACTGAACCCCAGTCTAAAGTCCAGATGTCATTTATTGCTAAATTAATGGTTTCATTTAGCAAATACATATATATTGAGTATCCACTGTGTGCCAAGTACTGTTCTTGGTCCCTGGAGAGACAGTCTTCTTGGAGTTCATATTCTAGAAAAAGTACAAAAACAGTAGTCACCCTGAGCAAAATAACTAATATCTAAGTAAAATATTTAATTAGATGGTAATCAGGATTAAAGACAAAAAGCAGAGAAGGGAATGGGAGGGGTTAGAAAGTGGTTTTGCCATTTGAAACATAGTGAGGAAATGAGAAATTTGAAGTCGGCCACAGGAGATGTTGACCTTTGAGGAGACTCACAGAAAGTAGAGGAGTAATTCATTCAGCTGCCTAGGGAAAAAGCATTCTAGGCCAAGGAAACGGTAAGTGCAAAATCATGGAGGTAGAACTGTGTCTAATGTGTTCACAATATAACAAAGAGGCCAGTTTGGCTAGAGTAGATTAAGGAAAACACCAAATAGAAGAAAATGGCTTCAAAGAGATAATGGAGAAGGAAAAGAGAAAGCAGAACAGATCTTAGAATAGGGCCTTAGAATATACCAAAAGGATTTCGGGTTTGTTCAGAGATAGGAGGATTTGGAGCATGGGAGTGGCATGATTTGACTTATTTTTTACAGGACTACTATGCTGGTATGTGA